ATCCCCAGGCAGAATGTTTTGGAGCTATGTAGTGCATGGTGAATGAAAGCTCAGTCGCTGCAGGTGACGTTATAAAAGCGGGTGACGTTATAAAAACAGGTGAAGCAGTGAAGGGAATTTTCTCACAACCTTCCACTGTATTTTCCATTATCTTGTCTTGTCCTATAGTATTTAAACTCTAAGTGTTTTATGAGAGATGTATTATTTTATTAATGGACTAATGTTGAAGGTCTTAATCCACATTTAAAGGAATTTGCAATTTGGAATTACTACAATCCTTGCCGAAAAGTAGGAAGGAATTGCCCTCCTCCCCTTCCTATCTGTGCACGTTTACATAGCAGAGTGGCATGGCTCTTTTTGGAGAAGTGCCTCGCTCAGGGACATACCCCCTTTGCAGCCAGGAAAGGAAACAGCAATAGACTCCTACCTTAGTCTATGCAAAGAGCAAAGATGACGCGTTTGAAGGACTAGTGACAGAAACAGATGGTTCTGCTCCTAAAGTTGGTGTAAACCGAGCTTTCCCCTTGCACAGTCACTTCAATAAGGAATAATGTGACTCAGTTGCAATTTATGGTAGGGTGGATAGCCGGTAAAGGTCTCTGTATCAGTCATTGCATTGACCGTGTAAAGTCAAGTTCAACGCAGTTTCCATTCAAACAGCTGCAGTCTTTGCATTGTGTCAGTCAGAGCTACAGAAGACGATAAATAAGTGGTAACATTAGTGTCCAGAATCTTAGAAAAGGGAGCTGAATAACTGGCTAGTTATTGCAATAATGCTAGTGTAAGTTGCAGTTATACATGCAATTGTATTGTGTCTTTAATTATGTAGAATTGAAGCTCAACAAAACATATTTTCATATGTTCATCTCCTCTAAACAAACAAACAAAAAAAAGGATCATTCTCAAATCCTCTTTAGATGAATACGTTATCCTAATTTTGAAGTACTAATCCAAAAAGATGAAATTTAATCGATTGCTACATTTTAAAATTGGAGGTTTTTTTAGTTCCTGATACCTTACTTTTGTACATAGGATAGTCTGGCAAGGAAGAGCTTTCCCTTCACGTTATTTTACCTATCTTTTGGTTGTTGTTTAGTAGATACTTTCTTGCTATAATATTTTCTCACAGATGATTCCGCAAGTGTGGCTAAGAAAGGTCGCTAAAATCTATTGACGCTTCCAAGGCAGCTGTCACAGCGACTTACTCTCTCCTACCTACCCGTTATCCAGATGGAGCATGTCTGAGAAATTCCAGTCACCTTAGACCCAAGGCTTGCAGCTGTTAAGATGTAGCTTGCTCCCTCCGTGATCAGATTGCTACACTCTGACTTTATAAACACGTGGCAGGTCATATTCAATGCAGATGGTTTGGGACTGCTTGTGTTAAAAAAAAAAAAAAAAAAAATTAAAAAAATATCAAAGCAAAGGGTTTAATAATAGTACATGTAAATAGTTGTATACAGGGTGGTGAAAAAATGTTATTCAGTCTTTAAACGGTACACGTCACATGTTGTTTGAATCATCCAGTGCTATAAGAGTTTGGCCAAGCCTCAAATAAAAGATACTGAGTAAGATAAAGCTCATTCTGATTACCAAACAAAATCATTTCCTGTGTTCTTTCCACAAACAAAAATATGTTGGAGCTATCATGTAGTTTTGAGCAGACTCAAAGATTCTTGTATTGAAGTCCAGATTTTAAAAAAATGTTAGTATTTCTTTTTTCCCCAGGGCTTAACTACTTTATAATATCACCACACATTTTATACTGGCCAAAGCAGATTAACAGCACACAGTTCAAATCTAGCTCTTTTCTTCATGCACTTAAGTCAGAGTAATTTGGTAGAGCTTCTAGTTTCTATCTTTCCCAGTGGGTCCCTTAATAATTTGTCTCAATGCTTTATAGTAGTCTTGCAGATGGGTTTGGCTTCAGCCTTCAGTCACTGTTTTATACGTCACCCAGGAGTCTCAGAGATAAAAAGTTAGATTAGGTTTGCTACCAGAGAAAAAGATATAGATGAATGCCATTTTTAAAAGCTGGTGAATTGCTTCCATGTCCATGAATAACTTTTACTAAGAAATTAGTTAAGCAATGAAACTAGAAAGAAGCTCGAGAAGAATGGCCAATTGAACAGTAGTGTTATGAAGTGGTGTATATTTCATCTACTTGCATTTATGTTTTAGGCCCTAGTTACATAAGCGTAAATATAGGTAAATGGGAATACAGTAGTGTCTTCATGAAGATCAGATGTGTTAGCAAAGTTACCCAGATGTACAAATAATTGCTATTTTTTGGTATCCTGTCCTTGCTGGAAGTTGGGTTTTGTTTTCTCTGCCATCCTTTACTGAACTATAAGACAAATCTACTCTTCACTTTCTGAATTCCTGTGTAGGCAATTAAACAGTAGCCCCTAAAGTGAAAGAGCTGAATGAGGGGTTAGGCATCTCACTACTTTATTAGTTCCTGTCCTAAATGTGTTTAAGAACTGCACTTTCAGTTCCTTCGAGTGCTTAAAGAGCCTTGCTTGAGCATTGGGATTTTAGCTTTGTTTCTGCTTATCTGAATTTTTAATACATGAATACTTCCAATTCTGGCTTTGCTGCAGAACTTTGAATGTTTTATCCAGCTCTTCGTTTGATTGCTTTTGGATTTTGTTTTTTCTCTTTGAGTGCAAGGTGTGGAATCTATATGATTAAAATAAATACAAAGCCAGAAATCAATATGATGCAAATTGTTTGCCTTATGTTTGAAGTATACTTCTGCTGTCAGACACACAAGATCAACTCCTATTGTCATAAGTAAGGATTTGCACATGTGTCTGAGAATGCAGTATAGCCCAGAAGCTCTTCAACATCTGTGAGTAAGGATGTAATTAAACATTGGAATTGGTACAGGAGCTGTTTGTTCTACTCAGATGATCCCAGCTAACTTCAATGTAACACTTTTCAGCTCTCAGTATTTCAGAGCTTGACTGTAACCATTTGTATACTAAAATGACTAAATCAGATCAAAGATTTGCTCGGTTAATTGGTGCAGCCACAGAGAGTAGACATAGTTACTCCCTGTAAAGAGTAAAGATAATATTGATATAGCTGCAGCGATAATGAAAGGCATGCAAAACAGCTCCAAAAATCAAGCCCTGCTAATGAACTGGATGTTATCCTCTCATATTTTATTCTTATGAGATTTAACTATATTGGCTGCAAATTTTGTACTTCGGTATTTGCGTATAGTTATCTCTTTGGCTTTGTCACATAGCAAATATTAATCGTAGCACTGAGCTGCTTGAATTCACAGTCTAGTGTATAAGCATGTGCTGAAAGCAGAAATTCTTTACATCTTTCTACCCATCTGTTGAACAGCATTTTCCCAGAAGTAGATAACCTTGTTGTTACAAGAATGGTGGCTTCTACCAGAGGCGCAAGAAAGCATGTGAAAATACTCTTCAGTTGCATCTGCATGAATTCTCAGAACTTAGTCAAGGACTTACACCACTAGAGTTGCCAGGATTTTTTGCTATTTAAAAGAATAATGTGACTTTATCCAGGATTTTATCCCACATCGTTTCCCAAAAGAATCATCTGTAGAAATAATTGGAGTATCCAAGTTATTATGCACAAAAATTAAGGAGGCTCAGTGAAGTCTGTGCTAAAAGAAACTTTACAATGCTACCAATATCTCAAAATCTCTTTGTGATTATCATCCGGTAGTCAATATTTTTAAAAGTTTGCTGTTCTTCAGGAAGATTTTGTCATCCCTATTTTTAAATACTGTGGTATACCAAAGCAACTGTGAGATTCACATGAAAATCTTTTAATTTAGAGAGGAAAAAGTCCGGATGGGAATAACCTTCTTCATGCTCAGAGAGCAAGTTTTTTCTTTGGCCTCTCTAGTCTCTGTAATCTGCAGAATGTGATTGGAAGTTTCTGCACCACTGGCCCCAGTGATGAATTGGCTGTCTCAAGCACTGACAGGTTTGGTTTATGGTATAGTTGGTCCTGCCCTGAGGGAGGAGAATCAACTATATATACTGCCTTACAGGTACATTTTGTATCCTTCTATGATGCCATTGTTGGGGAGTCACAAAAGCAATCTGGGGATTTTTCACAGTATCCCAATGTCTCCTGTCATACTTCATAGAAAGACTTGTGGGTTTCCCTCCCACTTACATGCATCATAAAAGACAAAAGACCGGATTTCACATTATGCTGATCCTCTCCCATTTTTTTTTTTTTCTCCAAATATATTCTCATAATTTGTCTTAACCAGTTAGGTTCTTTATTCACAGATCTTCCTAAATTCTTTTTTCTTGTTCCACCAAGCAAGATTTTGTTCTTACACTGGTAGGATCTCTGATCTTGAATGTTCAGCAGAGGGCAGAATTTCCTATGTTATAAACACCTCAGTGTCAAATCAATTTGTCGCTAGAATGTTTATTTTAAATGTGTGATTTGTAACAGTGACTAGTGATAAAAAGCTGTAAATTACCATTATTAATATAGTACTTTTTCCCCATGAAGTTGTAGAAAAAACATAGTATTAGCAAATGTTAACGCCATACTTCCCAAGACTTGCATCTTATCTTGTTTAAAGAGAAATGGGTAAGCGTTTTGTTGATAAGATTATAGTAAATATAACTTCCTGTACAGCTGAAAGAGCTAGTTTGAGACATTTAACATAAACTACAAGATCAAAGTCTCATGTATTTTCCATATGGGGAGAAGGAGGTACAACCGCTGAGTTTGACTTCCCAGTGTGTCCATCAAGAAAAGCTTTGTATCATGGCAAGAGATCATGCAAATAATCATGTGTGATGTAGGTTTTTAGTTCACAGACAATATTTATGCAGCAATACGGTGCACTTTGTATGAATTAAGCTACCTACTATTATGTGTATTGCATACAATCAACATGCATCCAGCAATTTTTTAAAATCTTCTGATACAAAATCTTTGTGTGAATAAAACAAGATCTGCTAAATATTTCACCTTTTTTATGTCAGTATGAAGAGGGGAAGAAACGAAGAAAGCCCAACTACAGTAGTGTGGATCTTTCTGAGGTTGAGTGGGAAGACAGAGATGATGTGGTAAGTGATGGATTTTAAAACTCTGTCAGAGGACATTGTTGCATCCTGCTACTGTACCTGGAAACTGTTTAAGTAGTTATTAGAGAGGGAAGGACAATAGCCCCTTTTACTTCATTCAGAATTTTATAAAAGTTTTGTATTGATTCTTCCTTACATATGCATATACCACAAACACAGACTCTTTGTATCTTTGGTAAAACTCATCACCCTTGCATTGTCTGTGCATCCCATTGTGTATTTTTGCTGGGTAGCAAATATAGTGCTAGAGAAGGGAATAGAATATCTCTTTAGGGCTGGCCCAGACAACTGCTGAAACTCAGAAATGAAGGAATGAGTTTAACTTCTCTCCATGAGATCCATCTTTCCTTAATGGAAGTAATGAGCTGTTTTCCTTAAAGTACAAAATCAAAAAACATCAGACGAATAAACAAAATTGAATTCTTTGACCTCTGTTCAGAGCACAGATTCACTCCAAACTCCTAATTTCAGACATATGGGTAGCTGCAGAAGCATGCATTCTATGTCTATCAGCTGTTATGCACACAGTCCTTTCCGTTAAACTCATTTTTCAGTGCTCCATCTACTCTGTAGTTCACTCTTTTATCTTCTTCTTTCTTACCTTGCAGGCTTAGCCTTTTCTGCAGTACTGTATCAAAAGCTTTCCTTATGTCCATGGCTTAACCTTTGCCTGGTCTTTCTGTTACTTCCTCAATAAATCTGATTTGTTAGGCATGATTCGTTTTGTGTGAATCCGTGCTGACTGTCCTTAATTAAATCGTAACTTTCCAGGTGTTCCCCTTTCTGTCCTGTAATTTAGTTTTTCCCATAAGTTCCCTACTGCCAAAGTCACGACTGCATGTCTGTATTTTTCATAGATGTCTACTCAATCCCTTCTCAAATATCAGTGCTGTGTTAGCTTCTCTCAAGTCCCTCATACCTCTACTTTTCCAGAGAGGTTTTGAATATATCCACTGAAGGTTCCCATATTTACTTTGTCATGTCCTTCCGAAATCTGGGATGGATCACGTACAACTGCCCCTGGAGTCTTGTCAGTCTTCAGATGTACTAATTTCTTGATCCCTGTTCTGACATAAGTCTATATTTTCTTTCTCCCTTACAAAATATATATCTTACATTCCTCCCTCTCTCCACCCCCTTAGTGAATAGTGAAACAGTTCATTTATGTTTTAAACAATGTCTGTTTCATCAGGTGATAGATTGTTCTCATCCTCTCCTAGGAGGCCATCTTACTGCCCTATTTAAAGTTTTGCATTGGAGTATGCACTCAGACTTTTTGAAATGTGTCTTGTATAGCTTTGTGCACTTTTCTATGCATACACTATTTAAGCCTTCCTCATTATATTTTCATATACTGTAGCAGCCTTCTGCAATCTTGGCAATCACATTGATTTCATATTTTATATTTTGCCTTTTATCTTTGATGACGTATTAGTCAACCAGTTCCTCTGCAAATGACCTTTTAAAATTTCCTCTCCTTTCAAATGTTATTGCTGTAGTTAAGCACAGCTTTAAAACCTTTTTTTAAATTATTATTTCTCTTTGGCTTTTCTTTTTTTTTTTTTTCTTTTTATTTCTTCCAGTACTTTCTCTGCTTAATTTTTACAGGTTTAATCCCTCATTTTTAATCATATCTGAGTAGAAATTCAGTGGTTCGGTTAATGTAACATTGAACTATTTCTATGACATTGAAAATTAAGTTTTATATATAATTGAGATTCTATCTGAATATACATGAAACCAAAAAGTCCAGATTCAGCTCTCTCTAAGCTCTGTCACTTTTTCTGAAAATTTCTAGCAAAAATTGAGTTTTGTCTATCTGTAGGCTGCAAGAAGTTTTATTTCACATTTTGATGAATGATAC